TTAAGCTTTGAATGCAGCAGATAACTGTAGATCCTAAAGAAGGATACATAGTGCTCATTTGAGAAGTGACTATTTTAGTTGGCTTTTTGACTTTTTGGCTATTTTAACCAAAAAACCACCATCCCAAATGGGGCCTTAATCTTTTACTACTTGTCATAATATGTTGTATGCGTTTCTTTTTCTTATTTATTTTTTTATGTGATGTGAAGCTGTAATTACCCTTTCTGTATTATTTTGGTAATGACAAACATAAAAACTTTATTGATTTTGGTGAAGATACTTCTTTTGATGAGAAAGTTAGGTTTCCTTGTTCTTTTTTGTCATGCCCCGTTTTTTTTTCATCGTTCTATATATGATAATTCAGCACCAAGGCACACTATTGCCTTTTGACACTAGAAAAGTTCCAGTGTCATATATTCATTCAAATTCACTTCTAAATGTTTCAAGGTACTTTGTGTTTAACATTGGCATTTTTACATTTATTCCATGGTTGTTAAACTAAGCTAGTGAATTATGAAACCCTTATTGCGGAACCATGTATTATTAGATTCATATTTTCATTGACTGTGATAAAGTTTTCTCCTATTTTAAAACTTACTATGTTAATTTCTACTTTATTTCGTCTTTTAGGATACTGCTGACAGTCCTCCACCTGATGAACATGCAAATAGCATAGCAAAATGAACAAATTTAGTAGGGGAGAGTGGGGAAAGTTCAGATTCTGATAGACAAGTTTCTTGGTTAGTATGTTATGTTTATATGTTAATTTAGTAGAACATTTCTTCTTCAACTAGGGTAGAATAAAAAACTACTTTTGACATTTAGGCACAAGGTCCCGGAAAAATAGTGAAATATGCATATAAAGGCCCGAAAAACATCACAAACACCTTGAGATTATCAGAAACTATCATGAACACTTTGGGAGGGATCAACATAAGTTGTGAAAACTTATAGAACAATCATAGGACTCTCGGTTGGAAAACATTTAGCCTTGAAAATAGGCCGTTAGGGAGTAAAATCTTGAAATAGTCGTTAAAAGGCCGAAAAATATCATGAATACCTTGGGAGGAACTAATGTAAGTTGTAAAAATTTACGAAACAAGCACGGCAAAATTTGGTTTCAAATTTACTTCGAAATTTTTATTCTCTCTCTTCTAGGTTGCATATTAACATATTTAGTGAATGGTTACTTTAACCTTTTGTTGTTGTTGTCTTTTTTTTCTTTTCTTTTTAAATGGCAAATTGGAGATGAATGAATTTGGGAACCTGCATGGCAAGAGTTTTTTTTGTTGATATTACCAGACACATCCATCACAGTGTAGTATTTTTTGTTGATATTACCAAACATGTATTTTGATTATGTTGTTGTGGGTTATGATTATATTGTGACGGATCTTATCGTTTTGTTGATATTTTATTGAATAGATTAAAAGAACAGGTTTTTGTAATGATTTGTAATGGGTATTATATTCAGCAGGTTATTAAAGTGCACAAATTATTTTGATTGTGTTGTAGTTTTTTATTTTACTAGAATAGATGTTATAGTTTGGATGTTATATATTAATTCCTTGATACTACGAGACATGTATTTTGCTTGGGTTGTTTTATGATAATGAACAGTTTAATTTTATATTGATTTGTATTAGATATTTTATTTAATAGATTGTTAAAATGTATAGGTATTGTTTATTGAAAAAAAAATATAAATCGCAAATATAACCCTCCCTCTCAATTTTTAAAATTTATTTATTATTGGTGATGAAAAAAAATTGACACAAACTTTCTAATCCCAACAAATAATTTCGTCACACATTCACTATTTCATCACTAAATTAAAATATTTGTTGACAAAACTTTTCGTCACTGAAGGGTCTTTTTTTTTCATCTTTTGGTGACGATATTTTTGTCACTAAAAATTTTATCGCTATTTTTAATGACGAAATATTTTGTCACCCAAAACAAATATAATAAAATTTTATTTAATTCTAGTGACGAAATGAACGTTATAGGTGACAAAATATTTAACATTTAGTGACGAAATATTTCGTCACCAAATACCAATAATAGGTGACAAAATAAATTTTCGTCATCAGGTACTTTTAGTGACGACGAATTGATGACGAACGTGGTGACGAAATTATTTCGTCCCAGATCAATTTGGTGACGAAAATTTCACTATTGGAGACGAAGTGATTTTGTCATTAAAGAACCATTTTGTTGTAGTGAGTAACAACAACATAGAAGTGGTGGATGTCTTCAAAAGGTCTATCTCTCAGTGTGACTAAGGTATTGTGGAAAAATCCTGCTCCACCCAAGGTAAAATTTTGTGGCTAGTTGGCTTGGAGAGGTAGACTTAAAACTGCAGCTGTGTTAAAAAATTTAGGAGTGTTAAATGAGGAATCTGATTCATTGTGCCTGTTCTGTAAGTCAGAGGAGGAGTCAGTTCATCATCTTATGTTGTTTTGCCCATTTGCTTAGGAGGTTTGGTCTAATATGATGAAGTGGTGGGGTCTGGTGTGGGCTTTACCTAGTTCAGTTGAGGATTTATTGCTTTGGTGGTTAGAAGTCAAATTCAATAAGGGAGTTCTTAGAATGTGGCAAAATGGTACCTTTAGCTGTTATGTGGTTATTACGGAAAGCAAGGAATGAATGTCTTTTTAGTGGCAAACCAGTAGATTGGAATGAATTAGTAGAGTTGGTGAAGGTAAGGGTAGCATTTTGGAATAAATTGAATATTGCGGGGATGCAGTATTCAGTGCAAGAGATAGTCACTAATCTTCATCAGATCAAAGCTTGTGTTGGGAGTTGAAGGTTACTCCTTAGGTGATGTAAGGGGGTTAAGCTAGAGAATGGTTGGGAGCCTTGCTACCATTGCTAGTCTGGGAGTGTATGTGGTGTTATTGTTTTCTGTTTGTGAAGATAGGTGTATTACAGGGGAGTTTTTTTGTATTGTTACTGCTACTCTATTGCATTGTAGTTGTTTTGTTATTTGTTTTCTCATTTTGGCTGTTTCGATTGGTTCCTCACTAATCTTGAGTTTAGTGCTACCATATGATTGTGTTTCTTTTGCGGTGCCAACCTAGTTGGGATCGTGGAGGTTAGCTATGATATTTTGTGCACTTCCCAGTTTTGTTGTTGTTTGGTGGTATGTATATTGCTTTCTTAATCAATAAAGTTTTATTTTGCTAATAAAAAAAAAGAGTTAGATGAAGATGAAGATAAAGATGAAGTGACGAAGAATAAGACGGCTAGAAATGACTTTTCACATTTTGATTTTGATTTTGCTTTAATTTTCAGAAAAAATTAGGTCCACATTCAAAATTGACAAGTGTATTACACTCTCTGTCAATTGAGACAGAAAAAGTAATCGTAGCAATTTAGTTCAAAATTATAAAGAATGTCTCTATTTATATTTGAATTATAATTAACGATAAAAAAGTGAAATGAATTTTAGCCAATGTATATAAATAATGGTTGGCACTATACCTTGCATGGGCACAGGTTTTTGGGCACGTACAATAACACTTTTTAATTGTTACCATTATTATTTTGTGGCTCTTTGTCTCTCAAAGTTATACAAATATGTTGTGGGTTGCAATTAATAATTAGTGCTTGTTCCTTTTTTTTCTATTGACCATAATTTTCAAATTATATCTATATGCATATGAAGCATTTTAATGGGGAAAAAGAAAGTGAAATAAACATGTAGTCAATCAACAAGTAGTTTGCTTTATAATGTTTATGTTTTGTTTCCACTTTTTCACAGCTTTGGCAAGACACTGTTTTATTGGGATCAGATTGTTGTAGAGCCAAAATTTGTCAATAGAGTGTGTGTATATATATTAAAAGAATATTCATTAACAATTTTACGTATTTAGAAAATAATATTTAAAATTTAAAATATGTTGATCAAATTTATTTTGAATATTACTAACACCCCACCAAGTATATATATATATACTATAAATTCAAATTAGAGGAATTTTTTGAATATTTTTCAGGATAAATATAATTTTTGCAAAACTTTAATCTATACAAACTAACAAAACCTTACAAACTTTTCTTACTCATGTATCAACTAATAATAAAAATTTTAGAATTTAAAATAAGTCACATTTCAAGATAGTTTTGATATTAATAATTACTCTCTACTTTAATTCCATACATATCTCTATTCAATAGCAAGCATACATAGATATGTATGGACAAGAGGGAGAAATAAAGCAGCAGTTGATGGTGACACTTCCAATCCAGACCACCCACCAATACTCTCACCTCTTTCTTTTTAATTAATTTCATCTTTAAACTTTTGTTAATTAGCAATAATTATATATATAATAATTCTCATTCCCATTCTCATTCTCATTCTTTCTTTCTCAACATGCATGCCCACTATTATCTCTCTATTGGCCATGATTAGACAAGCATTGTATGAGGCTTACATGCTAAGAAACTCTCAGTCCTCCCTCTTAAGAATTAAATAATAATTTTGTTACCAACATAAAAATCAAATATAGAATAAAACACATAATTTTATATAAGTTGACAAGATTTTATAAAATTTATTGATAGACCTATTCTAAAAAAATCTTGTGCAACCATATAACATTGGAGACCAAATATGTAACTTCTAATAAATTGAAAGTTAATAATTAAAAAATAAAAATTAAAAGCACATCTATCATGTTTCTTAATAGTGAATTTTTAAATTTATTTAAATTATTTCAGTCTAATCAGTAACTATATCAAATATTTTGGCAGAGATTTTCAAAATATCCTCAGAGTTGGTTGAATAGTAAAATTTTAAGAATAAAATTCAAGATTTGCAATTCTAACATATTAATCGAATTACATAAAATTCAAATACTTGATTACAAAATAAAAAATTAAAAAACAACACTATAAACCATACCAAACAACCCAGTACGCGAACTTGATTCACTCGGATTTCTATCTTGTTAAACTTAATTCAATAAATAAACCATTAAACACCATCCCTTTATCTTTTCCAGTCTCCTCTCTCTCTCTCTCTCTCTCTCTCTCTCTCTCTCTCTCTTTCTGCAACTCTCTTATTGATGTGATTCTCCACCATAAACCAATCAACCTTTACAAAAGAGAAAGATCAAGGAGCACCATGGTTTTCTCATCCGTTCCAGTCTATCTAGATCCTCCTCATCACAACTGGCAACAACAACAGGTAATTAAGCTTTGATTATTGATCTTCAACTTCAAGTTCTTTCCTTCTTTACCTTGTAGTTTCTTCATCAAAAAAGCCAATTTAAAAGATAATTATTATTCCCACTCTCTTTTCCTAATAATCTCTTCTTGAATATACCAAATCCATAATTTCTCTTTCTGTCCAATTTTGCAGCTTCCAAATCACCACCAATCCGGAGGTGGCGAGAGTGATAATAATCACTTTCCACCGCCTCTTCCGCCACCTCCAAGTGGTGGAAGTGGTGGCACCGCCACGGGCTCAACCAGGCCAGGTTCGATGGCGGAGCGGGCCAGGCTAGCCAAGATGCCACAGCCTGAGGTAGCACTTAAGTGCCCTAGATGTGAATCAACCAACACAAAGTTTTGCTATTTCAATAACTATAGTCTCACACAGCCACGTCACTTCTGCAAGACTTGCCGGCGGTACTGGACTCGAGGCGGTGCACTGAGAAGCGTGCCGGTCGGAGGTGGCTGCCGGAGAAACAAGAAAAGCAAAAGAAACAGATCAAAATCACCGGCAATGAATGATCACCGCCGTGATGGTTCTAGTTCTGCTGCCGGAGTTACGTCCACCACCACCTGCACCACCGGTATGATTGGCCACTTGATCCTTCCACCACCACAACAATTACCTTTTTTGCCCTCTTTGCCTCAGCTTAGCGACTACAGCAGCACCGATATTGCATTGAATTTCCCGGGAATTCAGCCTCCAGTGGCGGCAACAGGCGGTGTTAATGGCGGAATCGATATGGAATTCGGAATCGGAACTAATACTGGTGGTGGTGGTGGTGGGTCGATTTTATCGGCCCGGTTTGCGGAGCAGTGGAGGCTCCAACAAGTGCAGCAGTTTCCTTTCTTGACTGGTTTGGACATACCATCTGGGTTATACCCATTTGAGGGTGAAGGTGTTGTTGATCCATCGGGGTTCACAGGCAGCGCTTCCACCGGCCACCTTGGATCAAAGGGATCAGGAGGACTTACTCAGGTGGCCACCTCAGTGAAAATTGAAGATAATCGAGGGGTAAATTTGTCCAGGAATTTTTTGGGTATCCCAGGAAATGATCATTATTGGGGTGGCAATGCATGGACTGATCTCTCTGGTTTTACTTCTTCTTCCACAAGCCATCTCTTGTGATTTCGCTCTCTCTTCATCTCCGAAACTCTAGCCAACAATCTTCTCTTTTCTTCCATTCAATTACTAAATGATTGGCTCAACGACAAGGCTTGTTAGTATCCCTGCTGGTGTGAGTTTGAGTCACAAAAACAGCCTCTTCAGAAGCTATCCCCAAATCTCACTTCAGCAAAAGCCTCTTGCACTGGATCACTCTTTCTAATTACTATAGGTTAAATTGACTTAAAGATAACATGTTTCAATCAACTACCTTAACTTGCAAGTTCCAAGTCCAAGAGTCTCTAAAGGATGGAAATTACATAATGGACTTGTCCTTCAAGATCTGCTAGAAAACTTAGGTATTAATGGTAGGCTTCTAGTTCTTCCAACTTTCAATTCAATTGCTTTGTTTATTATTTGTATCTTATGGGTATATATAGAGACCTAGCTGGGTGTATGTGTTCAATGAGTTTGATATCTAACAAGAAGGCTTAAGGTGTATTGGTTGAATGCAGTATTGCAGTGTACTAAGCGATTTCCATTAAGTAATTCTATGAAAGTGTGTGTAGCAAATCAACTTCTTCTACTCCAATCCTCATAGTTTCAAAGAAGTCAAAGATTTGATCAACTTATCAAAAGAGTAATAATTATTCAGTAGTAGTCTGATAACACTGACAAGAAAAATTAAGACATGGCGATCCGTGATTTGGTTGCATCGTTACTCTTCCTTTACTATGTAAGAATTTGTTTGAGAAGTTTTTACCTGCAAGCTTCAAAACTAGGGATGCCTATTAAGAAGAATAAGCTATCGATACAGAACTCAGGCATAGATATTTATTGGGAAAAAGAATCCCATGTTTGGCCATGGGTAAGTGAAGATTCAACTAGTCCCATTGTCTTCATCTATGATTCAGAATAAGCAGATGGGTGTGAGAAGTGAGAACACTGAGAAGTTACAGTCTCCAAGGACAATGGAGGTCTCTGATTGCCCCATAAATGGTGTCCAGGTAAGTAGCATCTCAGTTCTATAAAGATACATAGTCAGTGATGTGTGACAGTTACTATAGTTTAGTCAATCACCCTCCCTCCATGCTTGGCTAAGAAGAGTAGTCATTTAACCAACTCTGCCTGATTGACTTCATTAAATGTGGCATTCCCCATCTCTCTCTCTCTCTCTCTCTCTCTCCCTCTCTATATATATATATAGAAATGCTATGTACTTATTTTCATAACGTATAGTATAAATTTAAGTTTAATTTAATTGATTGAATCTGATCTAGATATTCGAAATTTATATTTTTCTAAATAAAAAATATGAGTGCACTGCATTTATGTAGTATGACTTTTGTTAATTAGCACTTTCGGAGCACTGACTAAGAAATTCAAAATAATTATATGGTTTTTATGAAAATATATATAATAAAAAAATATACTATTATTCAAAGCATTAACCAATATATTTAGGACTTTTTTTTAACTAACTCTCACCTTTACCTTTTCTGGGCCAAGCAGTGAGCAAATAGGTGTGCCTCTTCATTGTTCAGTGAATTAATTCAGCAAGAAATTGATTTCAAGTGTCATAAATGATTTTTTGGCCATGCTTATAAGATTGGTCAACATATATATAAAGCTTGAAAGCTGAAGTGTGTCATTGCTTGTAGTAGTACCTTATTTTCACTCTCTTTAATCATCTATGCGGCAATCCCAATTCCCAGATATCTCTATGTCTCCTATCTTTACGAGTTTTCACCTTAAGTTAGTTAGATTTACCCCCCAAAAGAGCACAATGTCTAATTTCACGTACCAATTGATAAGGCAGTCATATCTGATGTGTCTACAGATTAAATCAATGTAGCTATATCATAGAGTATGTACTGCTGGTGTAGGATAATATTTCCAATGTAACTAAATCTGTTAGATGAGTTTGTTAGTTCGTTGTTAGTTTGTCAGTATATTGAGACTGTGTATAAATACTGTTGATGGTTGTGATTCATAAATCAAGAAGATGAATTGTTTTCAAGATTTTTTCATGGTATCAGAGCCTTCATAAGCTCCAACAAGCATTCTCACGGTGGCTACAATCGCATCTCTATATTCATCTTCTTCATTTTCTCCTCCAGTGATTCCTTCGAATCTGTCGTTTTACATGGATTTATTCTCTGATTTACAAAAGTGAAGTTTATGCTAAATTTATTCAATTCAAAGTCTTTGAGGAAAAATAATGTGGCTCTTCTCTCAAAGTGTTGCAATCTGATGGAGGTGGAGAGTTTCATAATCATTCTATGTTTCATTTTCTAAAGCAACTTGGCATTTTATATCAGTCTTCTTGTCCCCATACTACACCTCAAAATGGTGTTGTAGAGAGGAAGCATCTTCACATTATTGAAACTGCCATTGCCCTTCTCACACAGTCTGCTTTACCTCTTACTTATTGGTTTGATATTGTGGTTGAGGCCACCTTTTCAATTAATAGGCTTCCTAGTGTTGCTATTGATAATTATTCTCCTTTTGAAAAGCTTTTCCATAAGCCACCTTACTATTCTTTCCTCAAGGTCTTTGGGTGTTTTTGTTATCTATGGCTTAGACCATATTCTTCTCACAAATTAGCTCCTCGGTCTACTCCTTACGTATTTCTTGGCTATCATCCTACTGTCAAGGGTTATAGGTGCTTAAATCCTCTCACAGGTGCTATTCTACTTTCTAGGCATGTCACTGTCTTTCCCTTTGCCTCTTCTTCTGCTGCTCTTTTTGTCTTATCAGACTTGCAGACTTTCTTTTGATCCACTCCATCTGCTCCATCATCATAGTTTCAGCCTACTCAGCCGCCTCAGTCTATTTCTCCTCCTGTTTTCCTTGTTCACTCTTTTTCCTCTACTCCAGCTAAGATTTCCTTCTATCCCAACTCAACTTATATCTCCTCCTCTCATTCTCTCTGTTTTAGTTGTCTCGTCTGCTCCAGTTCAGTCTTCTTCTCCTATTCCTAATCCTACTCCTACTCCTACTCCTACTTCCATTCCTATTACATCTATTTCTATCGATCTTCTCCTTCGTCATCTTCAACCCAATACCCACTCTATGCAAACAAGGTCTAAAACTAGAGCCCATGCCATGGTTCCTCAGTCTTCTTCTTCTATTGCTTCTAATGGCTCCATTAAGCCCCTTTCTACCAAGCTGCTCTTGTTTTTTCTATTTGGTTTCATGCTATGATGGATGAATATAGTGCTCTTCAGCACCAAAGAGCTTGGTCCTTGGTTCCTTTTCCATCTTCCAAACAAGCTATTGGTTGTAAGTGGGTGTTCAAGATTAAAAGAAATTCAGATGGCTCTATAGTTCGGCACAAAGCCAGACTGGTAGCTAAAGGATTTCTTTTGTGGATTTTCAGAATACCTTTAGTTCTGTTGTCAAGCAACCCACCATCAGAATTTTACTTTGCTTGGCCTTACATCATCATTGGCCTATTAAGCAATTAGGCATTTCCAATGCCTTTTTGCATGGTAAACTTGAAGAGGAAGTATATATATGGAACAACTTCCTGAGTTTATTGATCCCTCTCATCCTTCTCTTGTTTGTAAACTTCACAAAGCCCTTTACGGCCTTAAACAAGCTCCTAGAGCTTGGTATTCTACGTTCTCCTTTTTTCTTCTTTCTTAAGGGTTTATCAACAGCAAATGTGATCATTCTTTGTTTGTTCACTAGACTTCTCCTTCTTTTACCTATCTCTTCATCTATGTTGATGATATTCTCCTTAGTGGTTCCAATGAAACTTTTATCCAAACTCTTTGATCTCATATGCGTCATGCCTTTTCTATGAAGAAGCTGGGTACTCTTTCTTATTTTCTTGGCATCTCTATTCAGCCTTTTTCTAATGGTTTCGTTCTAAATCAGTATAGGTATGCCTCTGATTTGCTTGTCAAAGCAAGCATGATTGACTGCAAACCTTGTGCTACACCAGTTTCTTCCAAACCATCTGTGGCTGCCTCTGATTCTTTACATTGTTCTCAGCCCTTTTTGTATAGAAGCATTGTGGGTGCTCTTCAGTACCTTACTATCACCAGACCAGAGCTTTCGTTTGCTGTTAATCAAGCTTTCCAATTCATGCACTCTCTTACTATTGGTCATTCTGCTGCAGTTAAAAGAATTTTGTGATATCTTAAGGGCACTCTCTCTCATGGTCTGGTTTTCACACAAGTTCCTTTCAGTTGTATGCTTATACTAATGCTAATTGGGCTGGGGATCCCTCCGATAGACGGTCCACTTTTGGTTATTGTATCTTTTTAGGTGCCAATCTTATCTCTTGGTCTTCAAAGAAACAGCCAACTATCTCCAGGTCCTCCACTGAAGCTGAATACAGGTCTTTTGCCCACACCACTGTTGAATTGACCTGGCTTCAAACGCTGCTTCAGGAGTTCTCCATCCCTCAATCTTCTCTTCCAGTTGTTTGGTGTGATAATCAGGCTGCTCTCTCTTTAGCCGCTAACCCTGTTTTTTATAGCCGATCCAAACACATTGAAGTGGACTGTCATTTTGTGCGGGAGAAGGTTGCAGCTCGCAAATTGCTTCTCAAATATGTTCATACCTTAGACCAACTTGCAGACATTTTTACCAAATCCTTATACACTGCTCGCTTTTCTTTTCTTACTTCCAATCTCAAGGTTGCTCCTGCTCCCTTGAGCTTGAGGGGGGCTGATAAGGCAGTCATATCTGATGTATCTAGGGATTAAATCAATGCAGCTATATCATAGAGTATGTATTGCTGGTGTAGGATAATATTTCCAATGTAACTAAATTTGTTAGATGAGTTTGTTAGTTCGTTGTTAGTTTGTTAGTATATTGAGGCAATGTATAAATACTGTTGATAGTTGTGATTCATAAATCAAGAAGATGAATTGTTTTCAGGATTTCTTCACCAATCACTAAATATCGTACGTTTCTTTTGCTATCTCTTTAATTCCTAATATAAAATGGTGGGATGTACCATTTTTACCGATCACAATTTTCATGAGGCATTATTTGACCATGTTTTTATAGATATGAAATAATATTTGATTTACCCGCTCATGAAAATAGCTTAAAATTGCATTTAAAGTTGAGCCACTTGACTCTCTCACTATAATAGATACAAATTCATAAATTTTACTATAAAATCTAGAACAATGTTAGGGATAAATGTTTAGTAGAAATTTTAAGGTCTTTAACATTTTTGTAAATTCTATTCAAAAAGTGCATGCGGTGTAAATTGAAACTTGATGTATGATTGATCTGGTCCATTACAATAGAAGTACTTATTTGTTGTTTGTGTAGTAAGAGAGATTTAGATTCTAGAGAAAGAAGGATGTGAGGAGGAAGCTAATAAACGCCAAAAATTCCACTCAAAACCATGCAAAAGCCAAGTACATTCTATGATTATTTTAGTATAGGATAAGGTCAAAAGAATAACAAAAAGAATATAATTTCTTCTTTAAAATCAATATGTTTCTCAACTATGTAAATTTTAAATTTCTGTATTTGAAATTTGGGTTCTCAACTTCGGAAATCTAATTCTCATTCATGTCTTGCACAATATATATACATATCTCT